TGAGAATTGCGTAACACCAAAGTGTAATAATTTAGCAACCTCCAGTCTATATGGCGACTCATGTGACTTTGCGGAGTAAAATGAAATAGGAAGCAAGGACAAAAACTAAACTGCAATCACGTTATCTGCTCAGATAAGGGAGCGTCAGCATCAATGCTATGAGAGGTAACCTTTTCGGCAATAATAGATCCATTTGTTTCAAGTATCATCCTTAAAGGAAGACGGTAACAGGGTAATCAGAAAATAATTAGAATTTTAATGAGAACGAAAAATTCTAACTAAGAAACACAAGCATACCCTCCATCAACAATCTCATCAAGACATAAAAGAATTAGATCCAAGTTCTCAAGCGGCTCCCTTTTGTCAACGTTGCTCCTGAAATTTGAAATTTAAAAAAGAGCTCATTTTAAATCTTGAATAACATGAGCAACAAGGCACTCTTATTTCAATTGTTGAAAGCAAAATATAACCTATAATACCTCAACAAATAGGTGACTGCATCAAAGAAACCCTGAAGAACCGAAGCCAAAATGAGCTCATTTTCATCATCACCACCGGTGACGAAGAAATGCAAGTCTTGTACAAACTCGTATATAACGACATTGTTCTCAATTAATGTGACCTCAGCTGCAGATAATAGCAAACAGCATACTAGTAATAACTGAATAATGAATCACAATAAACATAATTACAGATCAAGTCATGAATTGGCAATGACTGCGCAATTCATTGATAAGTCAGGGCCCAACGCTACAGCTTAATTTCAAATGAGTATAAATACTTGATTCATAATAGCATTTATGTAAATTTGAGAGTTTAAGAAAAAACTGTGTCTTGTTTTCGTGATTGCTGATAATTAGAAGAACACTTTAATTTTTCTACTTAGAGGAAATCTGACATGGTTCTGAGGAGTTCTCAACTTCCTACAAGTTCCTATGTCCTTATATAGTTTATATTATCTAGTCTACTATAACACAGGTTTGGTTTGTATGAAGGAAAAAATGGTTAAAAATAACTAATAAGGGAAGAAAATACTATGAAAAAAACTTCTAAAAATAATTAGAAAATTACTTCTTCTTTTTTGGGATTTCCCTTCGTAATATTCTTTTCTTTTTATTTTCCTTCACATCCAAACTAAGCTAAAGTTTTAAGGGTCATTTATTCCTCCTTCTATGCACAACTTTTGTGGTGAGGATATGGATCAATTTAATATGAAGGCCAATGCAAGCAATGCTGCCAAAGACTTCTAAATAATATGTATTCATTTGGTCCAAAAAATAACAAATATTAGAGCCCATCAATTAACTTGCTTTCAAATAAAATTGAGCCTATCATCACTAACAATTAATCTGTTCAATTCTTGATATAAGAACTAATTGACTCATTGAGGGTGAAATTTGGTTTTAAATATAAAATCTTAATCTGTTTATCATATTTATCATTTTTCTCAAACTAATTATTTATACTATAAATTAATATATAATCTAATGCTCTATAAAAATATTTTAAAAAATTATGTCATATTTATTGTAATTAATTAATTTTTTTTAAATATGTTTAAATTAATTAAGTAGTTTTTATATTATATATATATATTAAAGAATATAAGTTACTAAAAACAATGACCCTGCCATCCAAGGGTGGAAGTTGACAGCAATTGAATTTTGATGAAACGTTCGACTTAGCTACGTTAAGTGGGGGGGAGTTGCCGAGAAGTAACAGTGCAGTTGGCATGAAGCAGCACGCATCTAGACGCAATGGACCCTACAATTGAAGGTACAACGTTAGGCTTTTCAACTAATATGCTATGTATAATATATAAAATAAGAAAAATTTGAGGGAAAAAAGTTGAAATTAGTATTTTTCAATTCAAGTATATAACACTTCAAAAAAAAACAGAGAATGAAATAAATCCAAATTAAAATTTTAAAATTTAAGAGAAATGACAAAACATCTCTTTGGTAATTTTATTGAAAAACTGTGTTGTTAATCCCAAATCAAGACTTATAATTTCATAATCAAGACTTATTATTTTCAAATAAATTGTTGTTATTATTAATTGATTCACATGTTATGTACTAAAAAAAAAGTATTGTTAATCCTAAATTGAGATTTATAATTTTACAATCAGAACTTGTTATTCTCAGATAGATTATTGTTATTCTTTATTGATTCACATGTTATTTCATATGTTATTTATCAGGAACAGATAGGGGTGTTCAAGGCCGGCCCATTCCGGTCGGCCCGTTCCGGTCCCGGTCTTATTGGGACGGGACGGGACAAGCCGGGACGGGACAAAAAAAGGACCGGGACGGGACGGGACACGGGACGGGGTCGTCCTGTCCGGTCCCGTCCCGGTTCCTTTTTTAAAAAAAATTAATTTTTTTAATTTTTTTATATAATATCATTTTTTTCATTTTTTTTAAGATTTGAGACTATTGTATGGAACTATGGATATATTTATTTAAAGTTTTTATATTTGTTAATGATTTGAGATTGTTGATGATTAGGATTTTTAGCAAGTTTTTATTGTGTTAAAAGCTTTTGTTTAGAGTTTTTAATAACTATTATATGTAATATTTTGAGCTTTTGTTTAAGAGTGCCCAAACAAATAAAAAAGATGTTTTTTATAAGATTTAAGCTCAAAAAAATATAATTAAAAAATCAGATTTTTTTAAAAAAATTAAAAAAATTAAAAAAAAATATATTTCGGGACGTCCCGGTCCCGTCCGGATCCGTCCCGTCCCATGTTGAAAAAGGCAAGTTGCTTTTAACGGGTGAGCATGTTGGTGTCTGTGGATGAAAACAGAGTAAACAAAACAGAGCGTGAGCTCTTACTCCTTCAAAGTGAGTTTTAGTAGATTAAAGTTTTGAATATAATTACATTGACTCTGATTTGTATATTGATGTTTGAAGATGAAAATTAAGTGAAGACTTGAAAACAGAGCATGAACGAAATGAGCTATAACTTTGCCAACCCAACTTTAATTTGTAGATTACCACTAGGTGTTAGTGGGGCTTTTGCATTATTATCCTGTGTAACAGTTCTTAAACCTTATGTATTTTAATTTGGCAATAAGGTCTCTTGCATATTACAGTACATGTAGCATCAAATTATACTTTGAGAAAAAAATTGAGTTTGCAAACATGCAATACATAGCATTTATGTATATTTAAGATATGCGAATTAAGAGTTTTTTCTCCTTCAAAAAACTCTGTCTTCTGTTCAAGATTACTGATGATTAGAAAAACAAAATTTTCTATTTAGAGTAAACCCGAAATGGTTCGAAGGTGTTTCCAACTTCCTACAAGTTCTTATATCTTTGTATAATGTGTGTTTCTGCCTGGTCTAATGTAACAATGAGGGGTTAGTTTGGATGTGACTACAAAAAAATTTGCTATCTTTCTAAAGCTTTTTCTTTTAGTATTATTTCTCCCTCTATGCACAACTTTTCGGGTGAGGATATGGACCAGTTTCAAATGGAAGCCAATGCATGCAATTCCACCAAAAACTTGACTTCTAAATAATAGATATTAATTTGGTCCAAAAAATAACAAATATTAGAACCTATTATTTAACACATCTTCAAACACAATTGACCCAATTATCGCTCACAATTACTCTCCCTTTCCTATATAAGAATTAGTTAGGAGTTAGATTTGATTTTAGATGTAAAATCTTAAATTTGATCCTATTTATTATTTTCCTTGAACTAATTTATCTGACTTATAAACTAACATATAATCTAATATTATATAAAGATATTTTAGAAAAATCATATCATCTTTGTTATAATTAACTAATTTATTTGGTTTTCTCTCTACTTAAATTAATAAAATAACTTTTGTATTAAGTACAGGAATAACTAACAACTATAACCCTACCGTTAGTTGGTGAGAGTTGCATGGAAAGCTTAGCAATTGAACTTTGATTCAAAGTTACCGCTAGATTGATTGTGCCGGGGAACATCCCATATCCTGACTCTTTGGTTTTTTTTTTTTTTTGCATCTAAATGAAAAGGCGAATAAGTTCAAAGCACTGCCTCTGATCCCTTTTATAAAATAAGAAATTTTTAGTCTTTTCTTTATATTTTACTCCTCCGGTCCTTAATATAGAATCTAATTGTTGAGTTGATTTTGGTCCTAAATATAAGACCTATTTCTCATATTTATCAATTTTTCCTAAATTATCCCTATGGATACTTCCTCGACTATAATCAAGTAGAAGAGGGAGAAAGGATATTAAGGAAGATGATTATGGTGTTTTAGAAAAAAATATGTCATATTTCTTTTAATTAACTAACTTATCTAACTTTCTTAATCTAATTAAATTAGTTAAAGAGGTTTTATATTAAGGACCGGAAGAGTATTTATTTAATGTTAATTCATTTTTTAAAGGTTACATCAAATGAGTTTAAATAATGATAAAATTGGACACTCCTTTAATTTTTGAAAAAGAAATATGAATCAAAATGAAAGGACTAATTATTATTTCCCCTGGCCACGTTAATAAGACAAGAAGTTGCAGAGAAGTAACAGAGCAATTGGCTTGAAGCATCAATATCAACTTCTAAAGGTAGGCCACACATTTTGTTGGACCTTGATTGCGTACAACCTTTTGCAACTTCCGCAAAGACTTAGACTTCATAAGCAATACTATTTGTGAGTCATAAATAATACTACTCAAAGTATGTTAAAATAGTGATGTTTTCAGTTGGATCCTCCTCAAATTATTATCTATAATATGTATCTACTTCATTCGCATGTCCAAATTTTCCAAGGCCAGAAATAAAAGAAAGGGGTCTGGCCAAAAAAGAAATTAAAGAAAGGGGGTAAGAATCGGAAATGTATTCCAATGTGAACAGAGTAAAAAGTGTCGTTGGCAAACCAAACAAATAAAAAGAGTATCAGTTGCCGTGTCATTCAGCTCTGAAGACCTAAAACTGAGTCAAGTCTATTGGCTGCCATATACTCTATCATCCATGCTTTTTGCCATTTCTCAGCAAAGAAGACAGAGAGAGATTCGGGAGATTAATCAGAGTCCCACGGGTGCTGCAGCTTCAAGTCTATTGAAAGGGGGGTAGAGAGAGCGTATGAACTGCACCCTGAAAAAAACTACGGTGGTTTCTGCTTCCTCAAGATCTGGCTCTAGGCCAAATGCTCCGAGAAAGTATGATGTATTTGTAAGTTTTAGAGGCGATACCCGCAACAACATCACCAGCCATCTTCATGCTGCTCTCAAACGAGAATTCATTTTGTCCTTTCGTGACGATAAGCAAATAGAGAAAGGTAATGAAATCACACCATCGCTGATCCAAGCAATCAAGGATTCCAGCGTATCTATAATAGTCTTCTCAAAAGACTATGCTTCCTCAAGATGGTGCCTGGATGAACTCGCCCAAATCATGCAGTGCAGAAAGGATGAGGGCCAGTTTGTTATCCCCATCTTCTACAAAGTTGACCCCTCACATGTTCGAAAGCAGACCGGAGTTTATGAGAAGGCATTTGAACAACATGAGAAAGATTTCATGAATAACCCAGAAAGGGTGAATAGATGGAAAGCAGCTCTTTCTGAAGCTGGCTATTTAAGCGGCAGGCACTACCATGACTTCACGTAAGTATGTCCCTATCAAAGTCATCCAACCAAATTGTAAGGATTCCCTGGGTATCCCACCCAAAGTCGCAGCTTGCTGTGTAAAATAGATGGTTTACTCAGTTTATTTCTTTTTTTTTTTTGCTTTGTTTAACAGGGATGAATCCAATTTAATTCAAGAAATTATCACTGATATTAGCACGAAACTAGAACAAATACATAATCGTGGACAAACATTAAAAGATGTGGTTGGAATGGATGAAATGATCGAACCCATTGAAGAGTTACTAGGAAAATTTCAAAGAGTTGGAATTTGGGGGATGGGCGGTGTAGGGAAGACCACAATGGCAAATGCTGTATTTGCCAAATTATCTTCTCGGTATGACAATTGCTGCTTCTTGGAAAATATTAGGGGAAAAACAGAAAAACTTGGATTGGAAAGTGTTTGTAGCTCTCTTGTCTCGGAGCTGCTAGGGCAAGATATGCCAAGTAACACGTCAAATGTTTTAAGAAATGCCTTTGTTGCCAGAAGGCTCGGTAGGCAAAAAGCTATGGTTGTGCTTGATGATATTGATAGTTTTGACCAATTTGAGGGTTTGCAGGAAAACATATGTAATTTCTTAGGAGAAGGCAGTAAAGTTATTATAACAACAAGAAATAGGAAATTGCTTCAGGGAAAAGGTTATGAAATACTTGAGGCCAAGGGATTGAGTTATCACAATTCGCGTCAACTTTTCATCCGCAAGGCCTTTGGATCAGACTATCCAGAACACGGATATGAACAGCTCATAGAAGGGTTTGTAGAATATACTCGGCACAATCCCTTGGCTTTAACAGTTCTGGGTTCATATGTTCACTCTGAAGATAAAAGGTTATGGGATGGTGTGTTGACAAAACTACGAGCAAGGAGTCCAAATGACGAAATTCAAAAGGTGTTGAGATTGAGTTATGATGGATTAGCCTATGAAGAGAAGCAAACTTTCCTAGACATTGCATGTTTCTTAAAGGGTGAAAATGAAGCATTTGTAGAAGAGCTATTAAAGAGCTATGAATTCCATCCAACTGTTGGCATGCAAAACCTTAAAGATAAGGCTCTGATTGTCACAACCAATGGAAAAGTTGAGATGCATGACTTAATACAGGAAATGGGCTTACAAATTGTTCGTGAAGAGAATATCAGTGAACCTGGAAAAAGGAGTAGATTATGGGATCCTAGCGAAATCTATGATGTATTGAAAAATTGTGAGGTAAGAATATGATGACCTTCTTCTCTCTCATTCTAAGAAAACGTTATTGGTTACCAATGCCAGAAAATGTTCTTTATTTTTCTTGCTGTTTATAAAGTCTAAACTTTGTAATTTTCAGGGAGAAAAAGAGGTTGAAGGCATAATATTCAATACAGATGAGATTAATAGACCTTTAGATTTGACTGCTGAGACTTTTAATAAAATGACAAGAATAAGATTTCTTAAAGTTTACTCATCATTAACTCAGATTATGTCAGATGAATTGGGTATTGCAGCAGGTCTTGAGTCAATTTCTACCAAAATAAGGTACTTCCACTGGGCAGGATACCCAGGAAAGTCCTTGCCATCAAATTTTTGTGCTGAGCTTCTTCTTGAACTTAACTTGGAATGGAGCCGGGTTGAAACACTTTGGGAAGGAGTGCAGGTATTATATATCATTTTCAGTTTTAAATATTAATTAATATATGAGATCTTTGATTTCCGATGTAATGCCTTTATTTATTTGTGTTTTTAATATTTCCTAATGGTTTCCAGGATTTAGCTAATTTAAGAAGAGTAAAACTTGAATGTTGTTTTGCGCTGAGGGAGTTACCCGATTTTTCCAAGGCTCGTAGTCTTGAAACCATAGATCTGAGTGGTTGTGCACGTTTGTGTCATGTGCATGCATCTCTCCTATCCCTGCATAGTCTCATTTCTTTGGATGTCAGCGGCTGCCATAGCCTTGAGAGTCTCCAAAGTAGAATTCATCTAAAATCTCTCAAAGAAGTCAATATAACTGGGTGCTATCGTCTTAAGGAGTTCTCGGTGTCATCAGAAGAACTAACATCTTTAGATTTAGATGGAAATGATATAGAAGAATTGAGCCCATCAATTGGGCGTTGTTCAAAGCTTAGAAGACTCAACCTCTGTGATACAAAATTGAAGAATCTAAAGGTATTAAGTTGCTTGACATATCTGGAGGAACTCCGTGTTTCCAGCCAGAAGATTGACAGTGTCGACCTACATGTGCTATTTGATAGCTTATGCAGCCTCCAATCACTGACTCTCGAGATGTGCTGTGACTTAACTGAACTCCCAGATAATATCAGGCAACTCTCGAGTCTGGAAGAGCTTTATTTGGGAGGTTGCAGGAATCTTCAATATTTACCAGAGCTTCCCCCCTCCCTTAAATTATTAGATGCCACTGATTGCACAGCACTCTCGTTCAACCTCTCCTTCGTTCATCACCTTAGAAATCTCAATCGTCTCCTGCTCCATACTTTAAGTCCTTGGTATCCTCCACAGACCATGCTTTGTCGTTTTAAACTCATGTGCCTTGGTATTCAAAAGATGGCAGTTCTATTTGATGCATTGCCATCTTTAGAAGTGTTGTCTTTGAAGGAGTGGCGCGACCTAACTGAACTCCCCCACAATATCACACATCTTTCTGAGCTACGCTATCTATCTGTAGAAGGTTGCACCATGCTTCGGAGTCTACCGGAACTTCCTCCATCCCTTAGAAAGTTGATTGCCACAGACTGCACATCACTGAAGACGGTGTCTGCTTCAACAATTTCAAGCACATCTGAGAATTATGGTGAGAAAATCTTTTCATTCATCAACTGTGTGAACTTAGATCTGGGCGCCATTGAAGAACAAGCCAATTTGTTGTTAGAGAAAGCAGTTCATGAGAAGAATGATGTTACAGTTTGTTACCCAGGGAAGAAGGTTCCGAAGTGGTTTGGGAATCATAGATCCCAAAATGATTCGAGCATCATCGAACTACCTCCAGCTTCTTACAATTTAGCGGGTTTTGTTTTTTGCGCCGTTGTTCCTGACTCCTTCCCACGGGAAGAGCATATGGCCCCTGAAATTTCCTTCGGCTTTACATTGGATGAAATGACTCGCGAAATTGCATTTTCATCGCTCATAAAATTCAGTCCTGGAAATGTTCTCCTACGTTCTAATCCAAAACTATCTGAATTGATAGTCAGGAAGATTGAAGAGAAAAGAAGAAACCATGAAACCACCTCTTATGACCAAAATCTTTTGTTCAAATTCGATTTTGGAATTGGTAGTGATATTCTCATCAAAGAGTGTGGAGTCTATCCCATATATGCCTCAGAATATTACAATGTTGATCAACAGGGGAAATCGGCGGCGTTCAATTTTGAATTCCCGAAAACGCAAGGCCATAATGATTGAATAGGTATTATCTCCTCCTTTAAGTAGCAAATTAAGAGCATGTATTCATGCTTGACCATAATACTCTCCCAGCTGTGTTGACAATGATTACATGCTAAAGATTGTCAACTATATAGGTTCCAGCAAAAAAAAAAAAAACAAGAAGAAGAAGATTATTTGATGCCCTTTTTTTGTAATAATTATTGCACTAATGGTTGAATTTTGAGATTTTGAGTTTTTTTTCATCAGTTCAGTAATTCCATTCCAGGGAAATGATAATCTCATATAAACAACATATCAATGAAAGATTTCTCAAACAAATAAAATAAGTTGCTTTTAACTAATGGGCATGTTGGTGTTTGTAGATATAAACAGAGTAATGAAAAACAGGGGATGAGCTATTGCTCCTCCAAATTGAGTTTTAGATGAAAGTTGTTGAGTATCATTGAACTGATTCTGATCGGCATATTGATGTTTGTAGATGAGAACACATAGGTGAGAACACAGTAGAGACTTGAAAACAGAGTATGAATGTAACGTGCCATAACTTGCACAAGCCAATTTGCCACATTATGGTAATTGTGGTAATTATATTCTTGCAGATGATCAATTAATGTTGGCGTGGCTATCGCATTATTAGTCTGTGCATCGGTTCTCAAACCTTATGCATTTCAGTTTGGCAAAATAGTCTCTTACATATTCCAGTTTGTTACGGTACATGTAGCATCGAAATACACTTCAAGAACAAAAAATGGAGTTTTCAAACATGCAATACATAGCATTTATGTATATTTAAGATATGTGAATTAATAGTTGTTTTTTTCAATAAAATTATGTCTTGTTTTCAGGATTGCTGATAATTAAAAGAAAACTTTAATTTTCTATTTAGAGTAAACCCAAAATTGTTCCAAGGTGTTTCCAACTTCCTACAAGTTCCTATATGTCCTTGTATAGTGGATGTATCGCCTGATTTAATATAACATGAAGGCTAGATTTGGATGGAAGAAAAAATAAGAGAAAAATAATGAGAGAGAAGAAAAAAATAATGGGAGAAAATATTGTGAAGGAAAATTTTCTGCAAAAGATTTATTATTTTTTAAAGTTTTATTTTTGAGTATTCTTTTCTCTCTATATTTTTCACATCCAAACAACAAGGGGAATTTTCAATCCTTTATGCACAACTTCTCGGTTGAGGATATGGACGAGTTCAATATGGAGGCCAATGCGTGCAATTCCACCGTAAGTCTTGAGTTCTAAATAATACTAACTCTTACTCTTAATATAAGATATGTGTGTATATATATAACTAATTTGTGAAACTACGAACTCTCTTAATATATGTGAACAAAAAAATAATTTGGGCAAAAAATTATAAATTTGCAAGGAAGTAACAGAGTAATTATTATTCAGATAAAAAAAAAAACAGAGTAATTATTATTCCTCCAAACCCCTAGGTGAGAGGAAGTTGCGGTGAAATAGCAAAGCAATGGGTATATGAAAACATCAACATCATCTTTTCTGCGTAGGCCACACATTTTGTTGGACCTTAGTTAAGCAGAAGCTTTCACATGCAAATGTAATTCTCCCAATGACTTGACTTCATAATTACTGCGCCCAAAAAAAAAAAAACATATACTCCCTCCAATTTTAAATATAGGAGTTACGTAACTAATTTATGGAGTAAGTTTATTATTTAAAAAAAAAATATGTGTTTGATTTACCTAAATACTCCTTTAATAATTGTATTGAAAACTACCACATTAATATAAATTCCCATCAATGTGTACTATAGCAATAATAGTGTAACAAGAAAATTATAAATTTGAAAGATAAAATAGATTGAATTCATATATTTAGAATTAAAATACTCCTTCAATTCAAATTAGATCTAGAGGGCGTCTAATAAATCAGGAGTTCTTGATATTTATTAATTACCCATTTTAGGTTAAATTGAACATAAGTAATAGGCAGAAACAAACAAAAAATCTTTTTTTTTGTTATGGGAAATTATTTGAGGAAAATGATGGGGGAAGATTTGATCCCACTATCCCATGATTATTTGAACCAACCAAAAATACAGTGACTATTGGGTCACAAATAATTTCTTAACATTATAATGCAAAAAATAAGATAAGTTAACGGTTTTACTTTGGTTTGATAATAATTTATCTGGAAATAACAAGTCTTATTAGAAAATGACAAATTTAAACTTGATATTAACAAGGCATTTTTTTTAATACATAACATAAAATAACATGTGAATTAATTAAAAATAATAATCATTTATTTGAAGATAATAAGGCTCGATTAGGAAATGACTAACCTAACTAAAATGATTATACTATTTAGCACAATTTTTTTTAAACCCCAGGTGAACGCAGTAAAATATAGCTGTTACAGTGTGGGGGCAAAGGCGGGTAAAGCCTCTTCAGTCTTCCCAAAATCATAATTGCTTGCGCGGGGCAAGAGTGCAGAGAGAAAGCCACCTTTGGTCTGCCACGTGAAGTAGTACATTTGGCTGTTTCGGTTGTCCGGTTGCAGTGGTAATTTATTCTTGTAGATGATGAGTCAGTGTTGGATGGAGAAAAGATTGGAAGAGGAAAAAAATACTAGTCCTCTGTTAATATAAAACCTATTTTATAATATAAATTATATTATCAAGTAGGTTTTATATTAAAGACCGAATGGAGTGTTAAAAAACTTTTAGTCAAAATATTACTATATTCAATTTTTAATATAAAAGTTAAATCATTGTTGTTAAACTAATGAGTTGAGTCTCAAAGTTAAACATTTTTACGTTTTCAATTTATATAATCATGTTAAATTGATATTAAATTCTTGTTAGCTGTAAACTCGATCGACCTTATGAGTTCACTTATTGAGTTTCTTGTTTTTACATTTTTATCTGACAAAATTATGTCAACTCACTTTTAAATTTGTACTAAATTTTTGAATTTAGGTATGTTTAGTGACTTTATGTGAATTTTATAAAATTTATTCATAGAATATGGTAAATTATAAAGGTTGATGGATTTAATTTTAATTATTTGGATTCAAAATATATTTAAATAGAATTGTTGTTATTTTTTATATTTTAATTATTTAATTATACATTTTTAATATTAATCTATCTTTAATATATAAAAGTAAGGTACAAGGCATGAGTTGCTAGCAGTGCAACACGTGGCATCACCTATGAGTAGAGAAGTGTTCGTCTTTTTTTTTTGAAAAAAAAAAGAAGGTCACATTTTTACTCATGATTCTATCCATGTTTCTAATAGTCGGATATATCCACGTTGGTAACAAGCTATTATTTATTTACCATTAATCTGAGAAATATTAAAAACTGATTCAAATTGTATCACTTATACGTGCGTGCCTAGAGGGAGCATGTTTAGTTTAAATATGTTTTTTTTATATTTTAGTAAAAGCTAAAATTTTATGCACACCTCTCCTATCTATGTATTCCTCCCCATCATGATAAAATTATCTTTCATAATGAATCTGACAGTTATCTCAAATTATTTTAGGTGAGTTGTTTGTTTACATTTTAGAATTAGAAGTTATCTTTAAAATATATTTTAAATTTAAAGTTAACCATAGTTGTTTATTCCAAAGATATTTATTGTTTATTCCCATTCAATTCTTATTCACATTCTCCTATTTCTTATTTAATATGTTATTATTCAATAATTTTAAATGAAAAATAGATCGGCATTATTTTTCTATTTTGCAAAAGTCAAAATTTTAGGCACACATCCTCTATTTACACACGTTTTTCACCCTCTGATGCATTTTTTACTTAATTTTTTATTGGATAAAATATCTTATTTTTATTATTTTTTATTTAATGATATTGTTGTACGTCTTAAACTTATATATCTAAAATATTTCATATTTGAATTGCATAAAATAACTTTCTTGATCCCAAAAATCATGGAATATATAACTGATATATTTTCAAAATTTGAAATTTACATTAATCTTGTAGTGTTACTAAATATTTTAAATTTCAAATTAAATAATATAACTTCCCAATCCTAATAACCAATTATCTTTTTATTTATTCAGTTTCAATAATTTAAAAAGATATTTAATTTCTCTCTCATACCTTCCTATTTTTATTTATTCATTGCTTCTTCAATAATTTTAAATAGAAAAATAAGTCTGAGCATTTTCTTCTAGATGAGAAATCGCCATTTTGTCATTTCTTAGTTATAAAATGGTTTTGAATTTCATATTTTTATAATTGAAATATCTAAAATATTTAATTTTTAAAAAGCATTATATATATTATCATAAGTTACATAATACTCCAACTTAAAAAATATACTTGTCTAAAATATAGCTGGCAACTTTAGAAACAATAATTTTGCATCAGTGTTATTTTAATTATAATAATAGTATTTACTTAAAAATTAAAAAATAGAATAAGTGATGAGGTCCTAAACGTGGCCCAATATTCTTGATGGTGGAGGAGGTTATAGTCGTCAGTCAGTTTACTGCAAGTAGGGAGGGAGTAGAGGATTCTATACCTTCTGTGGGCAATCATGAAAGGTATGCATTCCATGTTTAAGCTTTTCAAATTTTTCGAGCAATGGATTATGATGAGTCATATTTGCCATTTTTCAAATGTTTTCCCTTGTTTGTGTTTGGTGGCAGAATGTTGTAGCAAAAGGTTAGTTCCTTCGTCATCTTCTTTTGTTAGTTCTTCTTCTCGATTCCTCTCTTCTTTCCATCTACTTCATCACTTACTTTCTTCTTGATGATATACCATCGTGGCTGAATCTCTCCCAACCAACCATCGTTCAATCCCGATCGTTGTCTTCAAGTGAGTTTTGCATTTTGATATTATGATTTGGGTTTTTTTTTTTTGGTTAGGATATTTTTTTCACTTCATATTTTTTTCATCTTATTTTATTCTCCCAATGCTTTTAACGCCTCACAAATTTTATTGGGAGAGGAGAGGAAAAATTTGAACGTTTATACAGATGATCACTATATATGTGGATTGAGAATTT